GGGGAGGGCGAGGTGGCTCAGGCCTTGTGCTGTTTGCTGGTCTTGAAGGACACCTGCAGCACACGCTCACCCAGGCGGTAGCCGTTGAGGCTGGCGATGGCCATGGCTGCCTCGTCGTAGTTGGTCATGGTGACAAAGCCGAAGCCCTTACACTTGTTGGTGGTGAAGTCGCGGATGACCTTGACATTGGTGACTGCCCCAAAAGGCCCGAACAGCTGCCACAGCACACTCTCGTCGGCCTCCGGTGACAGGTTGTACACGAAGATGCACCAGCCAGCACCCGTCGCACCCCCCGACAGGCCCACGCCCGCCAGGCCGCTCATGCCGTCGATGGCGATGGGCGAGAACCTGGCGATGAGCGACAGGGGACTACTTTGGGGGTCACGCGGGCTCTGCCCTGACCCCCGGCATGCCCCCGACCCGTGACCCAATATCATTTCATCTCCAAGAGTGACCAAGTCTGGCTGGGCCATGCTGGGTACCACCAGGACCTCTGACGTTGTCTTGACCTTGGGACTCTTGTGAGCCCTACATTGTCCTAACCCTGCTGTGACCTCCATCTGTAATCCTGCCTTCAACCCCACCGGCTCTGAGACACCATCCCCCAATCTTCACCCTGACCTGTACCTTCTCCTGATCTCTGACCATCCCTAAACATTAGGCCCTCATCCATGATCCTGCCCTGAGCCCGGAACTACACCCTGACCCCATGACATTTGGCCTTTTTTGGTTCTTGGCTCTGTTGACCCTGACTACTTCCCCATACCCCTGGCCAACCCCCTTCCCTTGGTACGCCTTCCTACGCAACTCCTGCTCTCACTCCCTTTCTGATCCCATCCTCAACCTGCCATGTTGTCCCATCTGTCCTACTGGCCACCCGGCCATGTGGCTGGAGGCCCATCCAGAAGGGCAATGCTGGGAGCTCAGATGTGAGTGTAACCATTTAAGCACCTCCCTCCTGTGATTCAGGGCTAAGCACAACTGTCACCTCCTTAGGGAGCCTCCTCTGACCCACAACGTGGCTACCTCTTCCCCTGCCCCTCTCTGGCCGTTTCCTAGTTGAACCGTATATTTCCTATTGGCTCTCTCTTCCCTAAAAGGTTTTGTGTTCTGTGGTGCCTGAGCCCAGAACAGCTCCTAGTACACACCAGGCACGTGGCTCCCCTCAACTGGGTGGGGACCCCCCAGGGCCTGAACCATTCAATTTGAGCTTTTGAGACTAACTGCTCACTCCGTCCAGTCTTCCAGGCCTTTGCATAGGCCATTCCTGCTGCCAGGAACTCCACTTCTACTCAGCTGCCCCAGGTGGCTCAGGGCCCCCTCTGGGTCTCTGTCACCCCTTCT